CTATCTATCTATCTATCTATCTATCTATCTATCTATCTATCTATCTATCTATCTACGTGTGCCTTCGTGGCAGTATTGACTCCTGGTGATTGCCTGGCCAAGTCTCTGCAGTTTTCTTGGCAAGATTTCAGAAATAGTCCTTCCTACGACTGAGAGAGACTGGCCCAAAGTCACCCAGCTGGCTTTGTGCCCAAAGCAGGATTAGAACTCACAATCTCCCAGTTTCTAGCCTGGTGCCTTAAACACTACATCAAACTAGCTCTCCCCAGAAATCTTCTAAAATTACATTGTACTGTAATAGTCATGTAACCTTTCTAGATTGCATGGAAGCATATATAATCAAATTGGTAGCGTTTATCATCTCTGGTTGGCATTCACGTATTCACTTTGCCTCAACAAGTTTTAGTCATTAATTTTATTGTTGGAATAACCTTGTGCAATAAACTAGCAAATTTAGTATTGAAAACACTGGAAGACCAAAGTACATCTTTCTTGGATCAATCATATTTAAAAGTGTATGACATTATTTTGGATGAGGAATCAACACAACAGCAAAGAGCTTTGAAAAATTGTACATTGGATAGTTTTATTCAAATCTACTTTCTATTTCTTAATTACATTAGCAAAGCTTTTCCCACAGTTTACATTGGTCTAGACAAATAGCTTTTTGGATAGAATTACTGAATATGGATGTTTAAATTTCTTATTTCTTCAATTTGTTTATTTATTTTTCTTTCAATCAATTTATACGGTCGTCCATCTAGCAACAGTCACTCTGAGTGATTAACATGGATTAAAAACTGTTTACATTGGTCTAGACAAATAGCTTTTTGGATAGAATTACTGAATATGGATGTTTAAATTTCTTATTTCTTCAATTTGTTTATTTATTTTTCTTTCAATCAATTTATACGGTCGTCCATCTAGCAACAGTCACTCTGAGTGATTAACATGGATTAAAAGCTCAAGTACAAGCAAATGATAATAAATATACGTATATAATGGCAACCAAGGAAAACAACTGGCATAAATAATATACAAATTGCATGTGTGTGTGTGTGTGTGTGTGTGTGTGTGTGTGTGTGTGTCTA